TGTAATAGGGATGACCGAGGTATTAAGAGAAGCCATAAAATTAAATCAATAATAATACTATAATAGTACTCAGTAATAAATAATACTTAAAAGTAATATGTACACAATAAAAACATAAATTACAAATCGAATTAAGTACAAATGTACTGAAAACTATTAAACGAGACACTATTACTAGACAGAATACTCACAATGTCCCTAAATAGGCAAAAGCTATTGAAATTACCAGCATTAAAGATTTTAGTGGAAAAGTGAACGAAGTCAAACTCTATGTAAATCCTATGGAAATTAAATTTTTGTGATATTAATTTAAAATTAGGTTAACAGGTGTGAAAGTGGTTAGAACCAATCATGTCACTATTGTTTTTTAAAAATTCGAATTATTTTTAGGGATACTAAACGACAAAGGTGTAAAATTCAGTTATGCTGAAAAGAATCACAATAACACTATTGTAGTACTATTAATAATACTGTTATGAAAATCCAGAATATGTTGAACCTTAAAGCATTTTAGTATTGAGTTTCACGTTAAATTTAAGTAATGAAAATAAAAGATAGATTAATATTTTAACAGTATGGCAACTTAAATTATTAAGAAATAATTAATTGTATGATGTAGTGTAGAAACTATTTATAAAATTAGCAACCAATAAAGCTTAGATTTTTAAAACATTTGAAATTAAAGGAATTCACAAATAAATAAATTTAACAATTGAGAAGAAAACTGATCTAAATCAGACTAACCGACATTCAAACACTATATATATATGAATATAATATAATATAAAAGTCAAATACAATATAATATTATAGAACTATTGATAAGAGTAAATATTAATTAGGTTTTAAATAAATATATAATTAAAATACAGCTTAATAAGACAATTTAAAGGTATTAATATCAAAGATAAATAAACTTAGCTATGCTTATTCCAATGGCTTTTTGACGACACTGTAATTAATAAAATTTCCAATATAGTCACTATTTGTTGGTTATTCTATGTCCATATAAGTCTTGGAGATGTTAAGTTAGTCCAATTTCGGATTTTTCGTTATCCAGAGGAATATTTCTGAGCGATATCTTGAATTCTTCGTAGCTCAGCTTTAAATAGCTATGTCAAAGACAGCTAATCCTAAAATTGTCAATAACTTCCAGAAATTCCTGTCGCATACACTCCTAAGTTATATCAATAGACGTCTTAGCACGCGGGCTTTATTTTGGCATCAAATTTGTCAATTTAACGTGAATATTTACGCTTTTATTAATTTTTAACGAGAGCAATAAAAATCCCAAACAACAAAGTTAACAGCAGCATTAGTAGTACAAGTGTGTTACACAGGGTTAATCTGAAAAAGTGGGATAAACTTTAGGAGGTGATACAAGGCAGCTATGCGAGCAATATTCGTCAAAGGGTGCATGGTCGGAACGCAAGCGGTGAGAAGGTAAAGGGTAATTTTCCACTGTCATATTTAAAGAATTAGCACAAAAATGAGATGATATACATCAGGAAACATTTTATTAAAAGGAAATGCTCATAGATGTATTTCAAAAGACCTTCCACCAGCTGGAATGCAAGTTTGAAACCTGGGGAATATGGATTGACGCACATTTGCGAAGCGACCAGGCTTTTCCCGAATATCGCCGGCAACAACGGCGATCCTGAAGACTAGGTCCATATTGGTTTTAATGGGGCACTCGTTGAATAGGCTTTTCATATGACCTCACAGGAAAAAGTCCAAACACGAGAGATCCGGTGATCTTGGTGGCCAAGGTCTTGGACCACCTCGACCTGGAAACTTCGTGCTTCGTATAAACAGCTCTTCACGCTAGAAAATGGCGTTGCGTGCGAGGACCGACCCCTTTTATACCATTTTATACCGACCCTAACGGGTCGCTGTTTACTCTCCGACCATACATTCTATAGCGAATATTGCTCATATAGCTGCCTTCTATTAACCCCTAAAGTTTTCCCTACTTGCTCAGATTTACCCTGTATTTTTACTATGAATGATTATTTGCTTTTGTTCTGCATTTTCTGTTTCTTAATAACCTCTCAATGTTAATGTGAGAATTCTTAAATGCCGTTAATTTCATGCGCCATGTTCTACAATACATGTAATAATGCATCGTGCAGTAGTAGTAATAGTACACTACGTGTAGTAATATATTTTCCGTTTGATGTACATGCAGTAATACATAGTAGTACACATAACAATATATACAAATAAATAAAACACACCCTATACTGCATTCTAATATAAAACGTGTAATACAAAAAAATCACTGTTATAAACATAATTTATTAAACATTTCGAAGGAAACCTCTTCGGAACGTTTACTGAACTTTGTTTGCTAACTAACCGAAAGTTTTGTTACGGGTATGAAGTATTTGTTACAAATATTGTGCTTAAACAGCATAGTAGGCCTATCAGCGGCCGGGCAGTAAAAGTTATCCAACTCTAGGAGTTTGGCCCGGCATTTGAGTAAAAGCAAACGGGCTAGCTGCATGGCCTTTTGGTTCTTTTCCACATATGTAACGTACGTACCAGCCAATTTCCCGTGCTCCACGGAATTTATTCGATACGTTCTTAACAAGAAAAGAAGAACAGAGTGGTTTTGATTTTCACACGTTATTTGAATGTTGATAATGGAATTTTTGAAACTTTTCCTAATTTCTTTTATTTTTTTTATTAGTACAAGAAAATTTAGCATTCATTTTCACTATTAATAGTGTTGCGTGCGTACGGGTTCGTTATGAAATGAATGCACAAGTCCGATGAAAAATGAACAAAAATTTATTATTATCACAACAGAAATGCTTAAATTTTCTCAAATTATCATGCAGTATCACAATATCTCACAGTAGTTATCTTTTAACTACTTAAATGTACAATAGAACGTAATTCAAAACAGCTAAAGAAAGCTAATCCGCGAATTCGCTACAATCAACAAGAGCAGTTTTCTAAACAACAACAAACTAAGCAGCAACTACTACGAACTGAGATGTTTTCCTCCTTTTATAAGATTTTAAAATCACGCGCTAGAATTTTCCAGTACTTTCTCGAAATCAAAAAGAGATATTTATTTATTTAACGCACGCGCTCTTGTATTTTTAATTTTTCCGGCTTAGCTTTCTTTTAATATTCGTCACGCGCTGCACTGCGCGAGAAATAAAACCATTTAATTTATAATTGAACTAACATTAGCTTTTTAAATAGCAAATTCGTAACACTGCCCCCTTCCCAAGGACTGCACGTCCCGGGCAGTACAATCCCTGGACAGGAAGCTAAACTTACAACTGTGGCATAAATGCATTAATAAGCATTACATTACAATATTAAACAACATGAACAATAAATGCAATAAATAAAACAAATCAAATGCTATCAAATACAAATCAAACACTAAATGCAAATCAAATACTAAATACAAATCAAATCAAATACACATTTAAAAACAAAATGGACCATGGTCTTATACTATTTACAATTATTTACATTATGTACTATGGCCATAGTAATGAGCTATCTCAATTGTTCTTCCATCCCTCTTGTTATTGGCATTCAAATCCCACTTCTGACACCAAAAATTGTTGCGTGCGTACGGGTTCGTTATGAAATGAATGCACAAGTCCGATGAAAAATGAACAAAAATTTATTATTATCACAACAGAAATGCTTAAATTTTCTCAAATTATCATTCAGTATCACAATATCTCACAGTAGTTATCTTTTAACTACTTAAATGTACAATAGAACGTAATTCAAAACAGCTAAAGAAAGCTAATCCGCGAATTCGCTACAATCAACAAGAGCAGTTTTCTAAACAACAACAAACTAAGCAGCAACTACTACGAACTGAGATGTTTTCCTCCTTTTATAAGATTTTAAAATCACGCGCTAGAATTTTCCAGTACTTTCTCGAAATCAAAAAGAGATATTTATTTATTTAACGCACGCGCTCTTGTATTTTCAATTTTTCCGGCTTAGCTTTCTTTTAATATTCGTCACGCGCTGCACTGCGCGAGAAATAAAACCATTTAATTTATAATTGAACTAACATTAGCTTTTTAAATAGCAAATTCGTAACAATAGTTTAAAATGAATTTTGTAGAGTTTAGTAATCTTCTGCAATAAGGCTTTAAATTTATTACAGGTAAAATATTTTGTAAGTTTAAATTCTTTTTTTAAACTGGCCGCTGTAATGTAAACTGACAATGTAAATTTACGTGTTTTTGCTAGATTTTTCTTTTCAATTACATTTTATATATTTATATTACCTTATTTTTTTAAATTATGTACTAAAGATTTTATTTGTGCGAGACATTATTACGTTGGGATAATCGCATGATGTTTTTTTTAATATGGGGCGCAAAGAATGTATATACATTTCATTTTTCTTTTTCAAGTTCTATTTAATTATTTTGCGCATTTTATTTTATTTTATTTTATTTTATTTATTTTTTTTTTTTTTTTTTTACGTGCTCCAGAGGTCATGCGGGACGAAAGTGATACAGCTCTATTGAATTTTTCAGGTTTTGATGTTTCATACTTTTAACCTTGAGAAGTCGCTCTGGAGCATAAAAATATGAATAATCTACAATATATTATAAATTTTAATATAATTGGTACATCCAACTTAATTAATGATGAGGGATCGTCTTGAATTTTGATTCATAATTTTGAAATGTAATAGGTTTCTTTATAAAATTTTAGCGTCTTTCTGAGATGGTTTAATTTACTTTTATTAAATAGTTAATTTAAATGTTATTTAATGAATTATATAAAAATATGTGCTACTGTATACTAATTGAGTTGTAAAATTTAAATTAAAAGAACAGATTTTGAACTATTTTAATTGTATCTTTATATATTCCCTTCGGATATCAGTAATCAATGTTGTTTGGTTTCATTGCAACCTAAAATATTTCATGATAAATATGTTTTGGTTCATCTTCATACTTACTGTTCATACTTAAATTTCATGCTTACTCTTCCAGATTGTTCGAGGAATACGCAAACGGATCTTCTGCAAAGATTATTTACAACTATGGGAAAAACAGAATTGGTGAAATAATTTTTCCTTTTATTTTTGAGTTCCATTGTTCTTATTTTTATAGTCAAGTTTTTATAGTTACTTCAGTGTTTGCGTTGATGCGGAGGGCATATATTTAAAAAACAGTAAATTTCTTTCTCACATCCAATGCTCGTACTATATTTAAAATACTTACATGCACTTAACATTTTGAGAACTTTTAAAAATACAAAAATAAAGATTAAAACACGCCTTACACAAAGCGCCTTTCACCTGGAGGAGACTTTGCTCAGTCTTCAGGTGACCTGAATTATTATAAGAATATAGTATTCTAGAATTCGCCACTGCGACATCAAGCTGCAGACATCCAGTGCCGTATATGAATAAGTAATATTTTGGAATATCTTGGAGTCTTGTAGGTGCAATAAAGAAAACAGGTATGTTGCAATAAGTGACAAGTGACGGAGGACGTGAGCGCCACCCCTCTACCATAGCGGTTAATTGGTATAGCGCCGCGTCCTCCTTGTCTAGAGCACCCCAAGATGGTATGGGGAAGGGTGAGGGGCCACATGAGCCCCTGACACCAGTCGCCGATTTAAAATACAGTGCCATACAAGGGCCTTGGCAGATAGTACATTGTCATACAATAATGTTTTCGTTTATACAGCATGTTACAAATGAGGTACATATTACATATGATGGCATATTACAAATAAGGTACATAGTACATAATCTTACATATACAAAGACAAATGCATTTAAAATATGCATATTACATTACATTAATTTGATTATGTGCATGGGAATATTTTAGATATAGGAAATTGTATCAAGATTTACACGTGATCAAAGGGCAATATGGTGTTACATTGGTTCGGATGGCTTACACCAGAGCTTATGTGACATGTAAGTTATACATACATTATACATTATATACACTATTCTGATACACTATACACTATGCTGCTATGTACATTATACTGATATACAGTCGATTCCGGTTAATCGGACCACATCGGAAAGCGATCGTTTTAGTCCTAATAACCGGCTGGTTCGATTACACGAATATGTCCTATGTTGTAAGACGAGACGTTCATAGGTTCAGAGGTCATCCATGTATTTCTGTTCGCACGATACACAACTGGTAAACTCTCCATCCTAAGTCCTTTAAAGCAGCGAGGATAAGTGCTTTTTTCTATAACCAACAACTTCCTCTTGTCCGTTCCTGACATGTTTGAGCAGCACAAAACAGTTACGAGATCCATCGCTTTTTTGGAGCCAGAGAGTGCAACATAAATTATGTTTATTTACAACATAAATTAAATGTTTGTAACTTAACGAGCCGTTCGGTGTAGCACGATAATACAGCCCAGTCTCATCAGCACTGTAGATGTCATGTGCGGAAAAATTTTCAAGAAGCTCGGGCAGTTTTATTGATTTCCATTTTTCAGCATTTGCACTATCAACACTTTCTTTCTCGCAATGTGCTTTGTTGAATTTTATGTCATATATAGATTTCCATTGAGGCAATCAACCGTCCGTAGCTTTAACGTCATCGTGGCCCAGCTCTTTAGCGAGTTGTTCTGCTTTGCATTTTAACATTGGGCCGCTTACTCCGCTTACTCGTACAGATCGTCCAGTAACAATGACAAACCATTCATTAAGGGCCTCATCGACATCTGGGTCCTTGCCTTCAAGCTTCCGTTTTTGGAAAGTTCCTCCTCGTCCTTCACATTGTGCCTATATTTCTCGAAGCTCATTCTCTTGTTTTATCAACCGCGAAATTGTAGTCTTTACCAATCCGGTTAATTCCACCAACCGACCTGATTAGTGCTTCGTGGATATTGCTTGATCTTATCCAGGAAACCAATTTTTTAACTAACGTCAAGTCCCGTCTCTTGGCATTTTTTCAGGGAAGATAAGACACGCACACAGTTCACTGACTAAAGCAGTCTCAAGAAACCTTGGTGTGTCGGGTACAGGATATTGAGGTCAAGAAGGAGATAAAATGCTCGCCATTCAAAGCTTTGGCACTAAAATCATCCCAAAAAGGTACTGTACCTTACAATAGTTGAGAAAATAAAGCATGTCATACAATAAATGATAGCTTTCTCGTGTAAACTTTAATCATGATTGACAGGCAGAAATTCCTTTCAGATGGAGCCGGACACTCTATTGTTCATTTCCTGGAAATTCGGAGGCGCAGGTCAAAAGAAATGGTGCGCGTGTTCACCTCCTACCGGTTTTGCTTTCATCATGCGCTTTAAGGAATTCTTGACCTTTGATAAAGCAGTTTCCTGGGAAGCCGCAACTACAGATCCTCCCATATGTCGCAGACCACCGTTGTTTGTACATCCGTTGTACGCGGCCGACTTGTGGCTTCTGTTTCTTATTCGCTCTCACGTTTTTTTGGTCCGATTAAACGGAATTGTGGTCCAAATAAGCAAATGATATTAGGCTTATGTACATAGGATTTGTTTCGATTCTTTAGGATTTGGTCCGAAAAAAGGGCTGGTCCGATTATCCGGTGGTTCAATTAATCGGATTCGACTGTATTATATACACTATACACTATACTGATACATACATAATACTGATATATTATACATTTAGCTGAGATACACAGCACCGTTGGCTTTTCGTTATCTATACATGGTTTTATACTATACATTATTTAACGTAGACTTACCATTTATACACCAATATACTCACAATAACACAAAGTGTACTCAATATATGTAATAATTGTGCATGTTATAAATTGCGCGAAATATATTCTGTCTTGTTTTGCATTTACCTTAATAGTATGTTTGTAGGCTGCTGCACACCCTTAGACTGTTTGACACAGATCTGTGCCAAGCGCAGAAAGTTTATCCATTACTTTTGTTAGTTTGTATATGAGGTGACGTTGCTTTCTAAGAAATTTACAGAACGCTTGGCGATTGGTCTGCGGGATAGGTATATGTAGTCCAGTTGTTAATGGACATGTTGTGACATAGTGTTCCGGAGTTCCCACTTCTGCATATATCCGTCTCACTGATGCCGCGTTTTGCAAAGTACTACCCGGGAAGGGACCATGCCCCGTAATGTAGCGTATGAGCTGCGGATTACTTACAGTCCTTCTCGGAACAACATATGATAGGTTATAGTAAGTTCTGTGTCCTGTCTCTCCTTGGTCCCATGCTTCCTGCCATTTACACGTAGCATGGAGTCTCAAGAATCTTCTGAGGTGGGAAATGGGCCAGGAGATGTTGACTGGAGCTGACGTTCCACCTAGAGCCGCGTCCTTAGCTAGACTACCTGCCATCTCATTTTCGTAATCTCCTACATGTGCCTTAGTCCATTCCAACATGCAGGACTGTCCACTGTTCTCTCGCAAACTTTGTTGTATGGATGCTATGGTGGGTGATGAATGTTCCGGATTATTAATGGCTTGTAAAACGGATAGACTGTCTTTCTTAATGGTTGCTTTCATAATTTGTTTTCGTTGTAGATATTGCATGGCCTGTTCCATGGCTATAGCTTTACTTCGGAAAACACTATCAAAGTCCCTAAGGGCTCCTTGCCATTTGGTATTATTACTGGTGGACACAAGGCAACAGCGCCTTTCATATACAGCGCCGTATATGAAAAGTAATATTTTGGAATATCTTGGAGTCTTGTAGGTGCAATAAAGAAAACAGGTTGTAACAAGATGTTGTAACATGATGTTGTAACAAGGCACTGCCCACTTTGTTGTTAATTTTAGAGCCGTCAGTATACGCTGTGATATCTGACGGTTGTTCCAATGCCGTAGTGATACCCTTGATTCGGACACCTCTGCTCTTCGTGCTAGAATGAATGTGCAGGTGTGTGGCCTGTGGTTCGAAATCTTCTGGTAGAAAGAGCTCGTCGTTGAAGGTTACTGGACGTTTCAGTTGTTTTACTTATCTTTCTGCCTTGCATGGGGTAGGTCCATATCGCTGCGCTGTAGGATGCTTTATTTTCTCAACTATTGTAAAGTACAGTGTCTTTTGTATGTAGGGGTTTAATCCCCATTGAAAGCCTTGATGCCGACGTAGTTGTTTTGCGATGATGGTCGTACGCTGTTTGATGTCTAATATGTGAGGCATATACGTCATTTTTTCGTCAAAGGTAAGCCCTAGATATTTCAGGGATCTTACTATGGGTATCCTTTGATTGTTGATAGTAATCCTTGGGCAGCGTGTCAGAGAGTCTCTTTTTTTAGGGATTAGAAGTATTTTTGATTTCCTCTCTGCTATTTGCAGTTTTTGAGAGTTGCATAGTCTGCAGACTTCGTTAGAGTGTGTCTGCAATACTTCTCTTTTTTTCCCGCTGACCACAAGTGTGGCGTCGTTGGCATAAGCGAATATTTTTGTGTGCGAGGGCCATGATGTTGTAAGGATGTTATTGAACGTGATGTTCCATAAATGTGGTCCGGCACATGAACCCTGTGGGTAGCCTTTTGTTTGATCTTTTTGGATGATGCCGATGTTATGGATTACTATTAAGCGGCTTTCTGTGAGATAGTGGCACAGTGGTAGATGTTGGATGGACAGTTTGCCTGGTGTAGTGCATGTTTGATGGCCGACCACCATAGAGAATCGAAAGCACTCCGAAGGTCGATACTTATCAATGCTGTATTGAGGACGTTGTTCCTGTTATGCAAAATTGATTCTTTGATGTTATGTAGTGCGTTCAGTGTTGAGGATCCTGTTCGAAATCCGCACTGCCTTAAGCTGAGATACTGCATTTGGTGTAGGTGATGTCTTAGCCGGTTCAGAAGTAGGTATTTTTAACCCAGAGCAAATAAACTAGCGCATTAAGCGCACCTGTTTTATAGCCGGTTCGTTTTATAAATGGTATGCCAAAAAGAGAGGCAGCAGTATGACTAGGCAGAAAAGCAGAGAGAAAATGCAATACATTCAAAACGGAAAGCGTGGAATAGAAAGAAAGCGTTATTTTTGTCAATAAGTTTTGGCTTATTAATTAGTTTCGTAGTAGCATTATTATGCAATGCTGCACGGCCTTCTGGAAGCTTCGAACATAATTGCTCCAGCGGCTTCGAAAAAGCGATTTTAAATAACTAAAAATTTTTTTAGAAAAATAAACTTTAAAAAAAACCCTGCCGATTAGAGAAAATTTGCCAAGGGTTGTGAACTCTGTGATCAAAACTGTTGCTATGGCACGACAAAAAATCTTCAGCTTGTAGCTCAGCTTCTAACTGAGCTATTGCCACAATTTAAAAATTGAACAGTTATGAATAATAAGAGCTATAATTCTGTAGAAACAATAAATTGGTGCAAATAAGTGCATGATCACAAATTTAATTATACAGGAACGCATCCTACGAATTCCTATTTGTCTCATCTTTAATGGTGATAAATTGTGAAAAACCTTTAAGAGTGTGGTACCAAGTGGTCATTCACTGATTGATCTGGTAAGAGAAGGATAATTCCTTGCTATACCCCCAGATTAAGCGACAAAAGCATCATTAAACTAATAAAAACAATGCATAAAAATAACAATACAATAAATTGGAGTAAAATATTTGCAAAAAGTTTCAATAATATCTAATTTTCTTTCACAAATGAAGGAAAAAAAAAGGTTCATGTTTATGAGGGTGGGAAGAATTTGACAGTACTGCTTTAACACATAACATCCAATATTTAACGCTTTCTTAGTATTTCAAAACACAAAAATGATTTGAATCTAAGAAAATTCGATGTTTATTATTTTGCTATGTTTTTCATTAACAGAAATTTTTGTTACAGAAGTCCCAACAGGAATTTTACAAAAAGCCTTTTTCAAAGGAAATCGACCGCAGTAAGTTGTTACTCTACTTCAATGACGCTCAATTCGTAGTATGTTTTAAAACATTTCTCGGCATTCTAAATTCTTTTATAAAGTGATTTATATTTTATAACCGTGTTGTAAAAGTGATTAGAAGAATATCATGGAAGCAGGCCCATTTCTGTGATATCCTTGTGACTTATTTTAGAAACTTCGTGGCACTTTTTAAATTTTGTTTTTACAATACGATTTATGCTTTATACTACCTGCTACCACAAAAGTTCCATTTATATGATATTCTTTCATTAATAAAAGAAGAAATCTATCAAAAATTAAATGATTTCTTCCAAACTCAGAAAAAGTCGCGGAGCACTGTTAGTTTGGTTCGAGGTTCGAATCCCGCGAACGGGCTGGCTGCATGGGCGTTTTCGTGGTTTTCCCCATGTGTAATGTGTATACGAGCCAGTTCCCTTAGAAAGTCCTCCACGAAGGCATCCCTCCCCTTAGGCAGATAGCCCTAGAGGCTTTGCCATAATCACACACACACACACACGTGCACTAAACTAAGAAATAAAACGATTTAACCATCATAACCAGTTCACCTAGTAATAGTTGCTGTGGGTTTTTCTTTCTTCGTATTTTCTGTTCTAGTTGTTACTTGCAATGAGAATCTGATTTATCGGTATACGAGAAAATTAAAAAGTTAAAATCTTTCAAGTGTAGCGCAGAATCAATGATAAATATTGAAGAGCAATTTAGAAATTTAGAAATGTTTTGTTTCAGTCAGATAAACCACACGATATAATAGAAAAAGTCTTCGAAGTGTCAGAATATGATTTTACAAACGGCAAGTTCTAGTACACCACCTGGGGAAATTTCTAAATGAGGAGGAAGAGAGTTTTAATTCTAATGAAACTAATGGTACTCAATAGTACATTGTCCCAAATTAACCCCATTATACCAAATTAACCCTTAAATGCATGAATTTTTATTTTTATTTTATTTTTTAAATTTAAGTCAAAATACATTAAAATTGATATCAAATAATGTAGAAAAAATATTAAAAAATATCTAAACCAATTCATTATTCAAATTTAAAAAAATATTATTGTTGCTAAATTCATTAAGCAAAAAAATATGTGATAGGTAAATGTGTGATAGCAATTTTATGTAATAATACATACCTTATAAACTTTTTCAAACAATTTTGAAACTTTGAATAGATCAAAAGAACAACAAACACAAAATAAAAAATTAGTAAACACAAATGATGTCCACGCCTTAATCATCAACTCACAATAATGACCACTACACCGTTACGCCACAAACTATATACGTAACAAACCACAAACTACCAAACTTTCAAAACTATATACGTAAACATATGTACCAACTTGTTTATACTATGCTGTCAGCTAAGATTTGTGCTTTGATTTTACTAACATGATTTACCCCCTCAAATATCATCAAATGCAAAGGCCATCTCCATAATAATAATAGTGTTTTCCATGCGGAATTGTCAGCCATAAAAGCAGCGACTGAAATAGCCATTCTAAAAAATCTCAACGAATTTAGCATAAAAATCTGACTCCCAAGCAGCTATTCTAGCTATTAAGAATCCCTTACCTTCCTCTCCATTGATATCCGACATAAATTCTCTTCTTGGCAAAATTCCAAACTACAAAATTCAAATTTCATGGATCAAAGGACATAGTGGCCATTTTGGTAATGATCAGGCAGATGAATTTGCCAAAGAAGCAGCTATTAATCAAGATGATACTGAAATCATCATTCCGTGGCCTCGCTCAAGTTTCAAGTACCAAGTAAAACAACTTGCTTCAAACTCTTGGCAAGATTTGTGGAACAATGCTCCACAGGTAAGACGCACATATAACTTGATCCCAAATTTAAGCTCCGCATCTCTGTACTAGAATCCTTCACTAAATTACTTTTTAACAGGACATGTACCCTTCCCCACATATTTGTACGCAAGAAATTTGGCAAATTCTGATATCTGTATATGTTGGGAGCAGGGAACTCCTGATCATTACACCTTCTCATGCCCCTTAACTGAGGATATTCACATAAAATCCCCAAGAACTGACCTCCTGGCATTCCAAAGGTTTTTAGTTAAATATAAAAATCAGTATCCAAAGTTTCAGAAAATTATGCAACGACTCTCTTCCTACGGCTTAGATCTCTGTCAAGTGTAAGTCCACATACTGCTTAAACTTACTGAACTTTTACATGCTGTGATTATGGACAAAATGGCTCCGCTCGTGAACTTTGTAAACTCCAATAAACCAATATATCTGAAATAGCCCATGGACACCCACCTCTTTAGCATTATTATTACAATTCTTTTTAACATTGTGTTGCCAGTACTAATTATAATTATCTCATTATGTTTATCTGTTTATTAATTATGTTCATCTCCTATTTTTGTTGCACTAAATCAGATGTTCAACTTATCTTGTGAATTTCAAATTGTATTCCGACTATTTTGTAATTTACTTATGCCCTACATCATCATTTTTACTACTATTTTATTTATCATACTGGATGCGGGCTATTATTACTATTATATTTATCATACTGGATGCGGTGCGTACTGTGGGATTGCACAATGTACCATAATAGGCAAACTCTAGACCTTTTCGAAAGCTTCAGTCTATGTAAATTCTTATAAAACTTGCAATTCCCCCCCCCTTTTTTAAAGAGTTAGTATGGGAAGGCATTACCAGTTGACCTATGGTACATCGCTGGTGTCCCCCATACTTTTACCTTTACCTTTACCTTTACTTACATGATTAAATATGAGTATGTTGATAAATGGCAATTACATGCATTTAAGAGTTAAAATCTTCCACATTTGATGGTAATGTTAAGAATTGATTAAGCTTATGAGAACAGTGTAAGAAAACTAACACTGATCAAAATTTAGTTAATCATGATAAATTTACCTATTTATTACAAACTATGATAAAAGGTCATCAGCCGTGGAATTACTACTAAGTTTTCCACTTGAGAAAGGAAGTGATAAGAAAGCTTTTAAATAACTTCAAGTACGTTTCGGAATAGATGAATTACGTACTTATTGAAGTATAAGTTAGAGACCTCCTCTCTTTAATATTCCAGAAGCGCAGTTCGGTAAAAGTACTTTCTCTCAGGAAACTGTATGAGCAGATTGAAGCAAAACTGCGTATTTGTGCCTTAGAGTCATTAGGAGTAGTGCGAGATAAGTATTCATTAATGCTCTATCTTTTAGTTGAATCTGCTCTACCAAATAAAGTACTTAGAGCTTGGGGGAGGCTTTGGTTCGCTCGTCGTCATTCAGCTGAAGAACCACTAGAGGAAGAGAAGTCAGATCAACACACTGCGGATAAAATCTTTAAACAGGACAGAATTGGATATATTACTTGTATTTCTTCAAGATGAAGTCCAGTCAGAAGACAGAATATAAATGGCCGTTAAATGTTCTAGTTTAATTGCCTACTAAGAGTAGACAGGAAAGTAGACATAATAAAAATCTACGCATACGTAGCATGGCCGATTTATTTAAATCTCCACGAACAGAGCAGAAGATCTGTATATTTTGCGATAGTCATCATAATTCTTGGAAATGCGATAAAGCCAGGAATGTGACGTTTCAAAAGAGGCGAAATATAACAGAAAAACTACATTTTTAACTTTAAAAACGAGTGATAGTGTTAAGAAATGCAAAAAGCAAAGAGTGTTGTCTTGTTTGCGGCAAACATCACAACACAGTTCTGTAGAGAAAATTTCCAGAAAGCGAAGTTCAGTCAGAGGAAAAAAAGAAATAAAACAGATGAATCTGTATTTCAGTTTAAGGCAGTGGCTACTACTCCACAAAGCCTAATATTTTGTTGCAAACCTGACTGTTATTGTTGAGAATGCTGGAGTAATGCAAAAACTGCGTACAATGATTGACTAGACTTCTCAGAGGTCATACATAATAAAAAATAGATCTGAAGGAATGGGATATAAATCGGTCAGAGAAGAAAATCTGCACCATTCACTGTTCGGAGGTCTTGTACGGATTGCTGTATGTTTGCACTATTTGACTAAATTATCTGGAACTTATTAGCTGTTCCTTAGAAGTTCTTATTTAGCTGTTATGTGTTAAACCATACTGCCTGTAGGTCAAGGACCTTGGTTGAAAGAATTTAAAGATTTCAACATATCGTTAACAGAATCACAAACTAGCCTAAATGAAATTCTATTAGGTGTTGATGCTGCTGGAAAACTTATGACCGGAGAGAATAAATTACTTTCATCTGGCCTCGGAGCTATTGAAAAGAAGCTTAGTTGGACGATCATGGGGTGCAAAATTAGTTTAGCGATAAATGTGCACATTTACTGGTAATTGTGACTTCAATGTTAACAAAAAATATATGCATCTCAGACCTACAGAATTTTGATTCTTTGGGTATTACAAATCCAGCATGAATTGCATAAAGTTGGAAACCAACAATTTTTGGATATTTTCCAAGTTAATAATGGTCGTTTCGAGGTACATTTGCCTTGGATTGAAAATTATCCGCCACTGCCTGATCGTTACAATATGGCTATGAGAAGGCTTAATAAGACAGTAAGCAAACTAAAAGGAGAAAGTCTTCATAAGGCGTATGAAGAACTATTTTCTGAATGATTCAGAAAAGCCATAATCAAAGAAGTTCAAGAAAATGAAACTGATGCAACATGCCACCAGTTATCCCATTAGCAGGTCGTCAAAGATCTCAAAAGCACCAAAATTAGACTGGTCTTTGATGCCTATTCAAAATAAAAGCGATTCGCTAGCCTGAACAAATGCCTTGAAACGGGAATAAATTTAATCGAGTTAATCCCATCAATTTTTGGCAGAATCCGTATGTAGGAAATATAAGTTGTAAAAGACATTCCTAAATCATTCTTCCAAATCAGCCTGTGTGCAAGTGATAGAAATTACTGAGATTTCTACCGCATTTCCATGGAGGGATACTAAAAATGCATAGAACACAGTCATAAAGTGTTCGGAATGTCTTCTAAGCCATTCCTACTTTGTGTTACTATCCAATATCATTTGGAAATTCTTATAAAAACGACTAACTGATTAGTAAGAAAAATATTTGATACAACAACTTCTCAAGATTTGTTATGTGGAAAATAGCCTGACCGGTGTCCAGAACAAAGTGGAATTAGTAAAAATCATAACAACTGCTATAAATGGGATTTGAGAGCAAATATTCGAAACTTCGAGTCTAGAAGTACACTGATCCAAATAGAGATATAGTACCTAGGATGACCGTGCTGAAAATAGTAAGGAACAGAAAAAGTGATACAATTACCCTCCATGTAACTAATTTTAATGAAATGTGATGCGAGAAAATTACTAAAGGAGTAATGTCAGCTACCTCTCATCGTGTCTTTGATCCTTTAGGAGTTATATGCCCTGGCGTTCTGGTTCTTAAACTAGTCTTCCAATGAACGTAAAAGATGAAACTCAGCTGGGAGAAGAAGATGATGAAGAAACAAAGTATAGTTTCTTGAAATTGTTAAAGGAGATTTCTTACTTAGAAAATCAAATATTCCTAGTTGATTTAATTGGGAAAATATTCCTAGTTGATTTAATTGGTCTCCTCCTTGCATTCTTTATGCGATTCAAGCAAATTAGCTTATCTTATAGTAGTAATATTGTGAATCGAAATCCAAAATGATGTAAAAGTACGATTCTTGTACCCTAGGTTTCATTATGCGAAACGAAAGTACCACTATCTCGCGGTTAGAGTTACTGGTACTTACAATTGCCTCTCTTCTTGCCTTTAACAGAATTTGTACCCTAGGTTTCATTATGCGAAACGAAAGTACCACTATCTCGCGGTTAGAGTTACTGGTACTTACAATTGCCTCTCTTCTTGCCTTTAACAGAATTTGTACCCTAGGTTTCATTATGCGAAACGAAAGTACCACTATCTCGCGGTTAGAGTTACTGGTACTTACAATTGCCTCTCTTCTTGCCTTTAACAGAATTTGTACCCTAGGTTTCATTATGCGAAACGAAAGTACCACTATCTCGCGGTTAGAGTTACTGGTACTTAGAATTGCCTCTCTTCTTGCCTTTAACAGAAATTTGTACCCTAGGTTATTATGCGAAACGAAAGTACCACTATCTCGCGGTTAGAGTTACTGGTACTTACAATTGCCTCTCTTCTTGCCTTTAACAGAATTTGTACCCTAGGTTTCATTATGCGGAAAAAAAGTACCACTATCTCGCGGTTAGAGTTACTGGTACTTAGAATTGCCTCTCTTCTTGCCTTTAACAACAGAATTTCAGGGTGAAAATACATATTTCTGGAAAGACTCTACAACCGTACTTGCTTGGATAGAAAGAGAGGAGCTCTGAGATGTATTTGTCTACAAGCGGGTACAAGAGACAAGAGAGTTAACTCCAAAGGAATCTTGTAGACATATCTCTGGCGCATTAAGCCCCGCTGACTTGCATAGCAATGCTCAGCTCGCTATTTGGCAAATTCTTAATAGTAGGAGGGGCTCGGTTTTCTTTACGTATCGCTGAAAGGACGGTGGGAATTTGAATTGATTGTTAGTGAAGAAGAAATCGTTAGAGAAAAAGGGAAGTAAGTTGTTTAGTCTGTGATGACTCTTGTTACTGAAAAGCAATCTTTTCTCAACTTACCGGAAAACAGTGAGACTGACGTCTTGGATTAAACAATTTCTCTACATAGCCATGGGGGGAAGCTGAGAGGATAGCTTATTGTACAAGAGCTTAACGAAGACGAAAGAGTGCTATCCGTTTAATAAAGTTGGAAAATTTTAGTGTTATTAACTGCTGTCCACACATTTCTCGATCACGGAATTCTGCGCACAATAATTGTCATTTTCCAAAGAAAAGATACTTCAGAATTCAGAGTCTCAGCCATTATGCCCGGAAATTATCTGATATTCATAAGTTTAGTGATGAAAGAGCATCAAAAACAGATCATGCCGGAGTTTCTCACGTCTTAAATTATCTTGTTTTAATTACTTCAAGTAAAATGTTGATTACTGACAGGATGAAGAACTGTATAAATGTGCTACTTGCAGACGGTTATATAGTAAAAGTGCGAATCTGCCAACTCTATCCTTACCACGGGATCAAGTAAAAATGCTTTCATTTTTCAAATCACAGGAATATATTCAGGACCAGTATTACTCGGTCACAGTACCAAAGCATGGATTTGTCTCTTCACGTGTGCTGTGTACCATTGTTCACTTCAAGCTTGTGACTTCTGTATCAACAGGAGCTTTTCTGTAAGCTTTTCATGGTTTTACCTCTAGGCATGGTAGATTTTAGTTTATACTGATAATGATAATAATTTTGTGGGAGCAAGCAATGCATTTGAATGGATTAATTTTAAAGATGACCTCGGAAGAGAAAGTGATGAACATATTGCTTAAAAATTTATCCCTCTTGGCTCCCCGCAGTAGAGATTAACTGGTGGGAACGTCTTATTGGAATGACGAAACGAATTCTGAAGAAAGTCCTTGGCTGCGCCAGCTTGAATTATGAGAAGATACGCACCATTGGGTGCAACAGTGAGGATATACTAAATGGTAAGCCTGTTACAGCTGGGTCTACAGGTTCAGATTTTGGCGTAATAACTTCAGATAGTGTGTCTGATAGTGTGGCTAATGATAGTGTGTCTGAAGAGGTTTTTTTTTTTTTTTTTTTTTTTTTTTTTTTAAGAAATTTCGAAAAGATTTAATATCAAATATAATATAGGAGGTAAATTCTGTTGTTTCAAGACGTAGATTGAGGTATCTTCAAAATGTCCGAGAAGCTTTAGGGGAAGATTTCCTTAGGAATATTTAGAAGTTCCGCCAATTTCGAAGAAAATGTAAAGTCAGTCGTCTGACCTAAAAGGAAATATTGTTCTTATTGGAAGCGACGACAAGAAAAGAATAATCTGGTCTCTTAGTTGAATTTTGGATTTAATTTTTATAGCAGACGGAATAAATCGAGAAGCCACAGTTGGAACTCAAAAAGTGGAGTTAATTAAGGCCTCTCTAAAATCGTTATCCTTTGGGAGTTTCTTCTGAAAGAGATAGCCGGACGTATCAATGTATTACTGAAGCTTCTAAGGAACATCTGAAGACCTCTCCTTGTCTGGCTGATGATAGTGTGTCTGAGAAGTTCCTGGTTGCTCGATCAGGGAGAATCATCACGTCGTATGAGGTTGTGATGGGTTGTGAGGTTGCGCATATGGGGAATTTCCTATTTAGTTAGTTTTGTGATTTTCTTATGTTTGTAAGGTAACATAATATTTAATTAACTTAGGTGGAGGTTGTTCACCAGTTCGCTTAACCACGGTTGCTGTAGGTTTCTTCTTTCTTCGTATTGGCATCACCTTTGTTGTTCTAGTCATTTATTTTTTTAATATGTATGTGAAAAAGTTGTTGTGAGACGGCTATCTGTAAAATATGCAGTAATTAAGAGGAAATAAATAGGTGGCTACTTGATGTTTTTCTTGATAGTGTTTTTGTGAATGGAGAATTGAGCACTACAATAATTATATTGTGAACAGTAAAGATCTAGTCTGAGCAAATAAAAACGCCATTTAGCTCCACAAACATCCTTTCAATAAAATTACGGACAAACAGCACAGAATAAGTGTTTCTAATAAGTTATGAATAATATATGTAATGACTAGATTATGATAATAAAGTATTGAAAACCTCAAGAGAATATTAATAACATATATCTAGCATTTAGAACTTATAAATTAAAAACTCTTTCAGTTACTATATGTAAAAGTTATAAATTAAAGGTTAGTACTCATTATTAAATCCAAAATAATATCACTAAATGATATTAAATGAAAAGGAAAATCAGCCTGGATATAATCTCCTTTAATTTTTTTAGCCGATCTCTGAAGCTAAGCCAAAGATGATGCCGAAAATCCTAAATTTTAAATTTTAATATCCCGATCAATATTTGTCATATTAGAATTAAAATTTTACGTTTTACTTTTTAGAATAAATATAAATTCTTATTAACTCTAGAAACTTGGAATGTAAAATTATTTTGATTTCCTAATTAGATTTCGTAATTTTTAAGAAATTGATTTTTAAATCATTGTAAACATATTTTCTTAACTACAACAATGCTGGAAATGTTCATAAAATGTATCAATCGAAATATAAATTCAATGCGTTTCAAATGGCATTAATTACAAGCATTATTAAAAAAATAATTGTTTAAATCAATCGAAAGCACTTTTGTTGCTTTTAAAGCTCTCAGTTTTTCACGAAGTTAATTAAAAATTATTAAAATTTAATTAAAAATAAAATCTAAAAAAATGATCTTTTGTTTTGCTAAAGCAAAAGTCTCTGACAACACGCTGTGTACGAAGGTTCGCTCAGGACATATTAAAGGCTTGTCATGCAATGAGAACGATTGCCTGGACGAATGGATCGTTTAGGTGTGGCAATGTATAAAACTACAGTTCAAAATTTTGAGAAAGACATTTCTAATATTTTTGCATTGATAATCTTCCTCATATACATCTTTAAATTTAAATTTATCTGAAATGCATTGACTTATACATTGCTTAATATAATTTAAGTTATTTAAAGTATAACTAAAACTTTATGAGTGCTGCACATTCATTTGTACATTCCCTTTCTAGGTCTTTAAATTGGGGAGCAATAGGTTCCCTGATTGCCCAAGAAGTTACAAATGCATTCTACTATGAAGGTAAAGTTATTATTCATATTAAAATAATGTTGCAAATTTTTGTGAAGTTATAGTTGTAGCATATTTTGTATAATGTAACATGAAAATCTGAAGAGTCGACGATCTTCGGGGGAATAAGATCCAGGGGCAAGTCTATTTAACATTGAGGTAAATGTCCATCTCTTTAAATCGGCCAGATATTCTCAAGCTGGCGAGGCTTTTGGCAACTTTCTTTAGCCAAATTTGGGAAGAAATGAAAATGAACTTCATTGTCAATATTCTTAACTCTCTTACTAAATCGCATACAGTTTGCGCATATCTGAATATCCTGATCATATTCTGAACTTTCATGTTTCCTCATACGCCTAAAGCAGGTTAGCAAATTTCTGCACTCGGACGCTTTATGACTATCATGATAAATGTTTGAAACAAAGATTTACGACAAGAAAGTCTCCTGTTTTGCAGATTTTAGTTTATTTCTAGTTACTTTATACTTACGAATCTCCTACGACAAGCCGCGTTAGTTTCGCTTATCACAAGTCTACCATCTGTAAATTTCATCAACATAAATCTTACTTATGTTTGATTCCATACTTCTCCTAACTCAACTAATTCAGGATTCTGCTCATTCAGAACATTCATTAATTCGACCTAACTTACATTATTTGTTTATGCTATTTATTAATTTGGTCTCACTCATATGCTTCGTTTCTGTTCGCCTCTTCCTATGATACTGTAGTGCCAAAATGGACGGTTGATTCTGTGCATAGAGTGATCAGTGCATTTGGCAATAATTGGGCACTTTTAAGAAGAAGCGTTACATTTATACTTTTATTAGAAGTAGAAGTTAAATTTGGTTTATTCATCAAAATTACTTGAAACCGTTTCTTATCTTCTTCTGAGGAGAACTTCTTTTCTGAGGAGGTTTCACTTACGAGCACTTTTTTTTTTTTTTTTTTTTTTTTTTCCATTCAGTACATTTCATTCCTCTGACACCAATTGAATCGACATTGACCAACCTTTTAACCTCTTCAGCTGAGATACTAGAGTCGGGTGATTCAACAACAATATTAAATGGTTACAGCCGAAAACATCGCTGCAAAAACATCGCGGACGAAAACGTCGCTGAGAAAACAGCGCATGGCGAAAACATCGTGGTACAGAACATCGTGGGAGAAAATAAAGCAAAGAGAAAACATCGTAGTTCTAAAACATCGTGGTACAAAACATTATCGTCGAAAATAAAGCGGTTCAAAAACTTCGCAGTTTAAAAATATCGTGGTAAAAAATAAAGTACCTACAAATCATCGCATGACGATAACATCGCAGACATGCGTTTTAAGGCTTTAATAATTGTCAGTGGCTATTCCTATAATGATTTATGAGCGCAAGAGGGAAATATGGTAATTTTTACTTTCATATTTTTTATTAACTAATATTTTTTTTAAACAGGAAATTTAAACAAAACAAGAAATAATTTTCACAGTCAGAATATCAGATTAACAAAAGTGAAGATAATAATCTCATAATTAACGTAGCAATTTTTTTATAGATAAGGTCATGCAATTACTTATCGTTCTTTTTCTATTCTTTCTTAGGTTATACCTTTCATGAAAAATTACCAGTAAAACTTTATAAAAATAATTTATTAATGACCTTTGTTAGTTAATGCTGTGAGTTTCATCATTAGGTTTGCAACCCACTTATTTTAATACTGTTAGTTTGTCTATACGCGAATTATTTTCTGTAAAGTACGATTTTTCAGCCTACCGATACCCAGATAACTATTCACCGCTCAGATGTCTCAAAGCTCATCTCGTGAAAACTGGCCACGCCTTTAGTATCTGATATCCTGCCTCCCAAGACCTACTTTCAGCATTTTCATACCTACATCGCTCATCGAAGCATCTAACTGAGATAGCCGGAAAACAACCTGCATTCTTTGCAGGTTACTCGCGGCATACATTTGGAGCTGGAGTTTGCTGCCAGTTTAAAATTTGTTTAAGAGCTACAAATTGCATCAGTTTTCTATGCTAAAGTTTCCATTTTGCATTTAAAGCAAATATTTATTAGTTAATAAAAAATTATGAAAGCAAAAATTATCCTTCTTTCCATCTTGCGCTCACAAATAATTATGCGAGTTTTTACAATTATTAAATTTTACAATTATTAAAGCCTGAAAAACGCATGCCTGCGATGTTATCGTCATGCGATGATTTGTAGGCACTTTATTTTTTATGACGATATTTTCGACGTCGATGTTTTGTACCACGATGTTTCAGAACTACGACGTTTTCTCTTTGCTTTATTTTCTCCCATGATGTTCTGTACCCCGACGTTTTCGCCTTGCGTTGTTATTTCCGCGACTTTTTCGTCCGCGATGTTTTCGGAGGATACCATATTAAATTCAAAAATGTTACTCTGTCAAGTAGCCAACAGGAGGCGCTACACTTACGGAGTAAAATTTTCTACAATTATAAGCTTAATGCGCGTTGGCAAGCCTGGCGCAAATTTTCAACCTTAGTTTTCAAATTTCTTCGCAATTAATAGTGTTAAGTTACTTTGAGCATTCTTTGCTTCCTCGCTCACCTGAGCATTTAGATTGATTTTCACATTTAATTCAATCTCCAGTGAGCTCTAACAGCTCACAGATCCGCTGTAGAAAGCATCAACAGCAGCTGCCGTCATGCCGGGAGCATCACCGATTGAATAGCATAAAATGGTGCATGTACATTAAAAACTCAATCCAATTAATTCCACTTGAAAAACCATAAAAACACGAGAACTACTCGAATTTATAAAAGCAAATAAATTATTATAGCAAAAGCCAAAAGCACAGTGTATTTACGACGTCGTCGTTGCTTCCTTTCTCCACTCTTTGCAATTATGGACGTAATACGTAAAATTAATGAAACTCCCCACCACCACCACCACACGTACCTGAACAAGGGAAACGGGCGTCAGTTTTGCTTTAAAATTCAGAGGCATGTCTTGGAGAAGGAAAAGGCAGATTATCACATCTCAACTCCTGCTGAATAGTATTGCTGTATGTTTCTTTAATTCTTCCTACTGAGGCGAGATAATTATGCAGAGTGAATCTGAATATGAACACAAAACTTTAGGGTATGATAGAAGGTAGCTCTACGAACAATATCCGCCATAGATTATATGATCGGGACTCAGGCGGTGAGAAGTTAAAGGGTAGTTTTTCACTGTCACATTTAAAGAACTAACCCAAGAATGAAAGGAGATACTGCAGGAAACATTTTATTATCAGAACATGCTCATAAAAATTGCTCAAAAGACCTTCCGCCAGTTTTAATGCAGGCTTTCCACCTGCGGGATAGGGATTGACGCCCATTTACGAAAACACCAGACATTTACCAAATATCGCTGGCAACAACGGCGATCCTGGCAAGTAGATCCATACTGGTTTAACGGGGACTCGTAGATTAGGCTTTTCATATGACTCCTGAAAAAAGTCCGCACACGAGAGATCCGGTGATCTTGGTGGCCAAGCTATGGAACCACCTCGACCAATCCATTATCCTGGAAATTTCGTGGTTCGTATAACCAACATTCCTCTCAGCAATCCACGGTATAAAATACCGTTATTTGCGAGGATCGACCCTTTCCATACCATTTACTTACAATGCCAACTAGAGACTCGCCGTTTGCTTTCCGACCATACATTCTATGACGAACAGTGTTCGTATATCTGCTTTCTACCACACCGTAAAGTTTTGTCCTCTTGTTCAGATTCACCTTGTATTTATCACGCATTTAGAATGAATTATCACACGTCATCAGGTATGTCACTTTAAATTATCAGTGCTTCCGACATTCGAACTGTGCACCTCCTCCCAAGTTCGTTTCCTTGCTTCTTTTTAAATTTATTTAATAAAAGCTACTTGCTCTGCAATAACATTAGAAAGGAAACTGAAACCGTCATAAAATTATAACTATCATTTAGAAAATGAATACCATTGTAGGTTCGCAAGAACGTGCAGTGCATTCGCCGAGACTCGAAACCTGAACGTCTCGAACACCCTAAATACGAATCTAGTGTGCTTCCAGTTACACCAAAAAAGCATGCGGAAAGGAGGGAGAAAATACCTTATATCATAATTATGATTTTTATTAAGCAAAATGTAAAAGCTATTTTTAGCCTTTCGCACTTCATTTATTAATTTTAATGTCAACATCACAGGTCAGTATTATGATAGCCGAGGTAACGGCGTCGAATGGTGGAGGCCCGAAGTTACAGAAGATTTTAAAAATAAAGAATCATGTTTTCGTGAGCAGTATCTTGAATACCTTCAAAATGACTATGGAACAAATTTAGAGGTAAGATCTCATTTAAAGAGTTGTTTCTCGCCCTATATATACAAGTAGAAATTTAATCGGTAATTTGATATATCTTGTAAACGAACTGTTTTCAAAAGAAATGCTGTACGTAAAATGTTATACGACTTGGAAAATTGTACGGCATTACGCATGCTTTATTTGGAGAAATTTCCTCGGATAACCTAATTGCTTAAATGAAACTCGCATTCTTTAATTGTTGTTCTTATTCCTCACACAAAAAAGAGCTAAATAAAATGCTTTTGTATTCACCCACTCTCACTTAGCTTGATAAATCCTTCAAAAGCAAATTAGACTGAAAATACCTAAGTGTAGAATTCAGAGAACCTAGGAGACAGAATACGTCAGGAAAGACTTAAAGTCTAAGTCTTTCATGACGTATTCTATCTTCTACGTTCTCTGAATTCTACACTTAGGTATTTTCAGTACGTTTTCAAGTTTAGATATATATTAATATTTGTATATAGTTGTAAATAGTTTAATTTTGTACATAGATTAATTTTGCAAATAGCTTGTCAAGTATTATACTTATCGGAAGTTCTTAAATTTTGTCTTGTGCTTGCACTTCAAGTTTCGCGTTACTCCCTTTTAGCTTAAAGAAATTGTCAGACTTGCCGCGGCACGCCTCTCCATTGTTCGCCTTCACTTGTTGTAGTTTGGCTTCACAAGCATTGGTGATCCACGGTCCCTCCCTTCTCTTTACCTTAGACCTTTCAACAATCCGTCTTATACTACTTCAGAAGTCAAACAACAAAAATCAGCGTTTTCAAATTTTCACAGGACTAGTTTCGATGGTTTTACCGAACCATCATCATCAGCTGCAAAAGCGGAAATGAACGAGATAGGATAAAATGATTAGATAAGATAAAAAAAAGCCTGGACAAGGAGATAAGCTAGTGGCGTCATCTGTTGATGAAACCAGAACAAAAATATAATTTCTTTAAATGCTGAAGGCAAAGATGGATTGGAATTAGGAAAGTTAACTAGAACAGAAACATTTTTTTCAATGTGAAATGCCACCAGAAAATACAGTTCTCCAATGGAAGATGGTTTTTGAAGAATTTTGGCAGCAGAAAAATTGAAAGCGTGATTTTCCGAAAAAATGTTGGGCAAGAGAAGACTTTGTTTCCTTTTTTCTAACATATGCCTCATGTTCCTTGACGCGAAATTTTAGGCTGTCTTAGTTGGACCAATGTAAATTAAGCCACACTGATAAGGAATACTATAAATACACCAGGAATTCATATCCGGAATGGAGTCCTTAAGTTATGGAACTCGGAATTTTATTGATGGGAGAACAAACGACCCGAAAGTTAAATTTCTGCAAAATATGTGCAGCTTTATAGCTAATTGATGGAAAAAAGGGAATGACAACACATTTTTTATAATCTCCTAAAACAAGAGTGTGCCTTTTATTGTGCTGAGATGAGAAATTTTTAACTGCTTGATAAATAATGTTCGGCGAAAAGCCTGTGCCAATAGCTATTGCTTTTAAATAATTTCGTTCTTCGTCAAGGGATAGTTTGGAGGAGCAACTTGAAGAGCACGGAAAACATAGGAATAAAATGAAGCTAACTTTTGTTTAGCCAGATGACATGATTTAAAGTGTGGTGGAAAGCAAACCGATGAAGGTTTATGGTAAACCGTAGGACTGAAGTTGGATGTGTTAAGTGTGACCAGAATGTCGAGAAACGGAAGAGAATTGCAAGTCTCAAGTTCAAAAGTGAACTGAATAGCAGGATCAATAGAATTCATTGTTGAAAGAACTTTATTTAAATCACCTTTATTACCTTCAAACAGGGTAAAAGTACCGTCTACGTAGCGGAATCATGCCGGGAATTTTAAAGTTTCAAACAATTATGATTCATAATAATGCATGTAGATATCAGCCAGGATGGGACTGAGGGGGCTTCCCATGGCTAATCCCTCAGTTTGCTTGTAATATTTATTTTGGAAAATTTTGAAAAAAAAAAAAATGCATTTGTTTCAAACCGAGAGCGAGAAATTAGCTCATCAATTTCGATGCAAGAGGAATGAAATTCGCGAAATCTGGTTTCTAGACATCGTAGTGCACCATTCACTGGAACGTTGGTGAATAATGATTTTACATCAAAAGAAAACAAGAGTAAATTTCTAGGAGAAATGTTTTTTACCTTTTTTACAAACACTATTGAACTTTTTATAGTGTAAATGTTATTATCTATTAGAGTTGAAAATCTAGAAACTAAATATTTAGCTAACGGATACGAGGCAGTACCTAAATTTAATACAATAGGGCGGAAAAGAATACACTTTTATGAATTTTGGGAAGAGCATATAATCTGGCACAATTCGCAACAGATGGGATAAGTGAATGTTTTAAGTTGCCTGAAATGATTTGTGGAGATTTAATCGCAGTTTTTTATTTTTTGACAGGTGCCGAAGGTGAAGGATCTTTAAGGATCGGATTATATGGTCCTTCGTTTAAGAGTTCAGTGACACCATCGATGTAAGTGTTAATATCCATGACGACTATCTGGCCACCTTTGTCGGCCTTTGAAATGATAAGATCCGGGTTAGAATGAATTTCGCGCATTGTAGCTCTTTCTCTCGCAGTTATATTTGGTTTCATAGGTTTATTAGGAATTTCACATTATGAGTGATAAGATGCCTAATCATTTCTTTCTGTGAAACTGAAACTTTACTGAAATACTTTACTGAATAAGAACACTTACATCGATGGTGTCACTAAACTCTTAAACGAAGGACCATATAATCCGATCGAGTTTGTAAAAACGTTTGTCAAAAAGGTTAAAAACATTTCTCCTAGAAATTTACTCTTGGTTTCTTTTGATGTAAAACCATTATTCACCAACGTTCCAGTGAATGGTGCATTACGATGTATAGAAACCAGACTTCGCGAATTTCATTCCTCTTGCATCGAAATTGATGAGCTAATTTCTCTCACTCTGAAACAAATGCATTTTGCTTTCCAAAATAAATATTACAAGCAAACTGAGGGATTAGCGATGGGAAGCCCCCTCAGTCCCATCCTGGCTGTTATCTACATGCATTATTATGAATCATAAATGTTTGAAACTTTAAACTTCCTCGTATTGTTCTGCTACGTAGGCGATACTTTTACCCTGTTTGAAGGTAATAAAGGTGATTTAAATAAAGTTCTTTCAACAATGAATTCTATTGATCCTGCTATTCAGTTCACTTTTGAATTTGAGACTTGCAATTCTCTTCCGTTTCTCGACATTCTGGTCACACCTAACACATCCACCTTCAGTCCTATGGTTTACCGTAAACATTCATCGGTTTGCCTTCATGGACCATATAAGAAATAGACTAACCCAAATGGGTTTTCTCCCTCGTCTGAGGCGTTGCCGGCTGTCACCTTGATCACATCCGGAGAAGTAGGCACGTCTTGCAGAAATTTAACATTGGTTGCCTATTGCAGCGTGTATAGTTGTCAAGAAAAAGCTGGTTATAGCGCCTCATTTTTGAAATTGAGATTGCTTTTTAAAAATTTAGCATATTTATTAAGCATAATTAACATTCCAAATAATTATAAAGCTATTGCATGCTTTCAGAATTGGATATTTTTTTAGCTTTTCCTATGCTGTCAGGAAATTTGTAACTACTTCTTTTAGAAAATAATATTTAAAATCTGAACTAATAGAAAATTTCAAACAAGCAATTTTCTCTTGCAAATTTTCTACTTTTTATTGGTGTAAATAAGTAAAAAATACTAAAATATTTAAAAACAATTTTTGAAAGTTTTGTTTAAAATTCTAAATTGTGCTGCTGTTTGAAAATTATAGATGAGTATTATCGCACAATTTCTATAAAGGAATTTTATTTCAATTATATTTCATAATACAACATAGTGATAAACACTTTTGACTCTTTAAAAATTTTTATACATTTAATTCTAATATTAAAATTGTATTTAACCGTAATAATTAATTTTGCTTGTATTTTATGGTGATTATTTTTAAATTATTTTAGTTCTGCATAAATTTTTTTTTATTTACTGTTAGTTTAATTTATTAGCCCAAAGGGACGGTAGCCTAGAAAGGCTGTTAGTTTCGAAGCGGCATTTTGTGCTGTTTTACTATAAATGTCCGTGTTTCCTTGCAAATTGTTGTTACCAAATATTATCGCCCTGTATTATATGTAAAGAAATTAAATAATGAAGAATCTGCATGAATTCATGTGTGTTTCTCACACTGTGACAAAAAGGACAGTATCTAGAGCCATCAAATTTTGAATAATGTAATCCTCCACCCGAACATAGGCATCTGGACGGCCGAATTTCGAATTTGTTTTAATCTATTTCATATTTTGTAAAACTTTCACGAATATTTGATTAACAAACTCAACGAATTCAGAGAGAGCACTGTACGGAAAATCACAATTTTATCTCCAGTGCGGAAATTCTAAAGATATGCTGTTTTCAAATGTATGTGGATTACTGGCGAAGAACATGCTATTTAGTAAATATAGGTAACACACAAAACGTTAAAAAAAAAGAATGCTTCTAGATTTTATTTTATCTTTTTTCTTTTCCTTCATTACGCTCAGAAACTTTTATGCTCCGAATTTTATGAATTATTAAATAACAAATCCACCTTAATGTAAATAATTTTATGATCATATAATCAAATAAATATGATCGTTTTGTAATGTTATTATAGTTTCGAAAATCGCTGCCTGAAAATATTCATTAAAAATTATCAGATCTTGTTTAATTTTACCTTATTTTTTTCAAAGCATCGCGTGCTATCAATCTTATTTTATTTTTACGCAAAATTAAGTTCATAAATTTTGTCCTTAGCGTTTTTACCGTTTTACCAAAGTAAAGATGTTTGTACATGAATTACGCGTGAAAAACTTGCGCGAAATGCAGTAAAAAGTGTTTAATGAGGTATATTAAATCCTATATGGAAAAAACTGTGGCTTTCATAATCTCATCACTATACAACGTATCACATTTAATAATTAAAAAAGAGTTATGTGATACAAACACCATAGGTTTCAGTGTTAAATTAAACCAGATCGTCCTTACTCTTTCTTGTCGACACGTCGGTGACTCGCGCCCCTCCCACTGGGTTAGTCTATCACTTATAAGGTCCATGTTTGCCTTCCACCTCACTTTAAATCATGTCATCTGACTAAACAAAAGTTAGCTTCATTTTATTCCTATGTTTTCCGTGCTCTTCAAGTTGCTCCTCCAAACTACCCCTTGATGAAGAATTAAATTATTTAAAAGCAATAGCTATTGGCACAGGCTCTTCATCGAACATTATTAATCAAGCAATTAAAAAATTCTCATCTGAACACACTAAAAGGCACGCTCTTGTTTTAGGAGATTATAAAAATTCTGTTGTCATTCCCTTTTTTTCATCAATTAGCTATAAAGTTGCACGTATTTTGCAGAAATTTAACTTTCGGGTCGTTTGTTCTCCCATCAGTAAAATTCCGAGTTCCATACTCAATGACTCCATTCCGGATATGAATTCCTGGAGTATATTTAGGATTCCTTGCCAGTGTGGTTTAATTTACATTGGCCAAACTAAAAGAGCCTTAAAATTTCGCGTCAAGGAGCACGAGACATATGCTCGAAAATATTAAACACAGAAGTCTTCTGTTGCCCACACACTTTTAATTTTTCTGCTGCCAAAATTATTCAAAAAAACATCTTCCATTGGAGAATTGGATTTTCTGGAGGCATTTCACCTTCAAAAAAATCTTTCTGTTCTAGTTAACGATCCTAATTCCAATCCATCTTTGCCATCGGCCTTTAAAGAAATTATGTTTTACTTCTGGTTTCATCAACAAATGGCGCCACTAGCTTATTTAGCGCTTATTTATCCGCCATTAGCTCCTTGTCCAGCCTTTCTTGTCATATCTAATCATTTTATTCTATCTCGTTCATTTGCGCTTTTGCAGCTGAGGATGATGGTTCGGTAAAACCATCGAAACTAGTCCTGTGAAAATTTTAAAACGCTGAATTTTGTTGTTTGACTTCTGAATTAATATTTGCTCGGCATGTTATTGTGTCTTATTTACATCCGTCTTATGTCATCGGCTTATAATGGCATCTTCTCACAGAGCCGGATACATCACGCTTTGCGCGATATCCCCCCCGGTATTCGTACCGACTAGACTAGACGGTGCTCCGTTTATTGCACTGTAATTTAGAGCCATTGGCCAAGGAGCCTATTAATCATTAATCGCTTTGCTATCCGCTTTTTGCTTTAGTGTTGAACTGTGAATAATAAATTTTAAAAATACAAAAAAATTATAAAATACAAAAAAAAAAAAAAAAAAAATTAAGACTTTCTAAGAAAATCAAAATTTTCGATTTCAGTGATTTTTCCTATACCTAATCTTTCTCGACTCACATGCCTCCCTCTAGCTTTTTCCTTTTAAAATATTTTTACGTAATTTTTCGATTTCTGCCACCTAGTATATTCTGATGTGATGGTAAATGGTTTTGAACCATAGGTACTCCTTAAAACATAATCCTTGGTCATTGTAGGTACTCCTTAATATATAATTATTGGTTCTTGGTCGGCCGCGATTGCCTTTTGTGTACTTAATAGCTATTTTGTATGTGCCGCTGCTTAAAATTGAAATTATCTATAGTTATTTTTAATTTACCTATTGTATCCTTCGCAGGAAGATTTAACTGATCTACCACCACAATATGTAACTGCAACTGCTGGCCTCAAAGCGGCTTATCTGGTAAGAAAATTATCTGAGTTTTTTTGAGATTGTAAACTTGCTATTTAAATTTCAAATACAATACAGAAGGAAACAAAACTGAATGCACGGTAAAAGGTTGAGATTTATAAGATTTGCTTATTTTACCAGTAAAAGCCCAAAGGTTAGTGTCTTAGATTTAATCACTAAATAATAGCATTTATAATAGTGGGATGACAAAAATTCAAAAAATGCTTATAAACGCTTCCTTTCCGGCTTTTGCAAAAGCTTTCAGTAAAAGCCGAGGAGATAAATGACTGTTACAATACCTTGAAGCTACAGGATAAGGTGCTACTTTGGTAGACGTTTGCACGGATTCTGGCGATTTGTTTTTGGCGAGCGATAGGACTTAAAGTAAACCAATTGCTGGACAAGTTATTTATGCTAACCGATACTTTGTTGTCATTTTATTTAAAAAATAATGCTTTTTATTATGCACGGTGGCGTAGCTAGGGTGGGCCAAGGGGGAACACTTGTCCCCGGGCGTGGCATCCATGCGGCGCCAAATTGATGCTACGAAACTTTTTAATGAAATGATTTCCATTCTTGGCACACAGAAAGGGGCGCAAATTCTTCAGTTGTCCCCGGGCGCTGCAATCCTAGCTACGCCACCGATTACGCATAAATTCCGTGTTTTAAATATTATTTATGGCTTCAAAATATTAAAAATGAATTTAATTTTGCGTTTTTCTTTGAAATAAAAAATTTTATTGTTTATGATATTTCATGTTGTGGATAATGTAATCAATGACATCACCTTGCTTTAAAAGTAATTGGTTTTAATATCTATAAAGTTAATCTAATGTTCTAAACAGTATGTACGATCCGTTGTTAAAAATAGTGGATTGTAAATTGACTTGATATTACTTCAGTATAGAACCCAAAAAACCTCAGAGTCATAACGTTGACCGAAACTTCTTTATTGACTTTCAAACAGTAAGTTAGTTGAGGAACGGCGAAGACCACACAAACTCCGACTTCAGTGGCGGCTTACCAACACAAACTCAGAAGAACCTCTGCTTAGTTGAAACTCCAGTAATTCACAGCAACCTCAGAGCTCTAAACGCGAGCTTTAAAAAACCTAACAAATTTGCGTCTGCGCCGCTCCTCGGTACAAAGAAAGAAATACAATTTGCATAACATCGAACACAGTATTTATAGCTGTTAGATATTAAAATACAATTTAATTTTGCATTTTTTTCGAAAAATGATTTTATTATGTATGATTACTTAAATAATTTTAATTCTATGCGTGATGTAATCAGCTCCCTGATTGGTTACAGAATATATGTGCATTAACGAGCTGTAATCAGCTCTCTTGAATATTTGTGCATAACCGCGCCATTTTATTATTCATCTCTTCGAATTTCTTAGATTTTATAGGGAATGGATATGACTCTTTCAAAGATTAATATTGTTATTGGTAAGTACCAAGAATTAAAAAAATAATAATAAATAATTGTCCTTTAAGAATAAATAAATAATGTCCTTCGGAATAAAAAAATTGTCCTTTGAGACCTTATTTAGGCCAACCTGAATTTGTTTTTAATCAAAGATTTATTATAAATTGTTACAAGGGTCAGAGGAAACTTATTTTGAATTTTTGGAGGAAACATCGCTAATTGCTTCTTCAATGAAATGCGAGAAATGTGAATCACAGACGAAGATCGTTAAAAGAGCCGATTCTGAGGACGGCCGTATATGGTACTGTGGTCACGGTGGAAGAAATAACCGCTGTAATGGTAAAAAAGTATTAAACATTCCTCCTTTTTTACCGGCAGTAAACTTCTAATTGCTGTCATTTTAGCTTTAGTGTACGAAGAGTTCTTATTTACTTATTTTAAAGTATTTGAATTTAAGTAATATTTTAATCCTTTTTAAGCGCTAATATGATGGTTTTTAATTCGATATTCAGTTTAAGTAATATTTTAATCCAATTAAACGTCGGCGCAATATTTTTACAGCAGTGTTTTTATTCTATTTCATTGCTGTATGAAAGTAATAATTTAACCTTACATTAGTATTTTATACTCGTAATAAATGTATTTATTTACATTTGCCTGCCATCTTAAAAAACAACGTTTTCAACAAAAAATTAATCAATTATTTTTAACGATATTTATTTTTTTAAAGTTTCGAATACTTTACTATGCGCAAAATACGCAAAAACAGCGTTTTTAAAGATGGCTGACGATTGTTAAAACAATTGCGCCAACAATTGCGCCAAAGTAAATCGCCAAAAATCCGTGCAACCGTCTACCAAAGTAGCACCCAGAATAAATGCCTGTAAGAATATTATTTAAATCCACATGTTCAGAAAACAATAAAAACTACAGGCAAAATTTATAATGCAAAATTTACCAAAGCAAAATTTATAATGCTATCTACACTGAAAAGAAAATGTATAAAAGAACTTCAATATGAATAAAATAAGTTCATTCTTTCCAATCAACAACCAGTTCGCAAATAATATTTTGTTGCCAAATCAGGAAACAAAAACTTTTGACAATTCAGTTTAATACGTATACGTATGGCGTCATGATTTAAACTTAATTTAATATAACAACTTTTTCTCAATATCAATAAAAGAATAAACGTGGCAATAACATATCGTGTCAATTTCCCTAACCTGAAACACAAAAGTTGCCAATAGCAGCTATTTATTTAAAATGTTGCTATTAACGAGAAATTTTTGACGTGCAGTAGAGACACCTGCAATCGCATGCTTTTTTCAGTGTCAGAATATGACCTTATATAACAATAATATGTTTAATGTTTGGTTAAACTGTTTTCAGTCCAAATGGGAAATTTGCCCAGAAGGGCTTTTAATTTTGTTTCGGCATTTTGCGTCGATTCACGATAAGCGTTGTTTCACTTTTCAGATTGTTGCCACCAAATATTATCGACCTGCATTATATTTAAAGAAATTAATTAATGAAGAATTTGCAAAAATGAATGCATTCTGATAAACATCGTACATAGAACCACAAAATTTGAATAACGTAAACTTCCACAGAATATGGGCATGTGGAAGCCCTAATTTGCATCAGAAATTTGTTTTATTGCCGATTTCATATTTTGTAACACTTCAACGAATTTTTGATTAACAAACTCAACGATTTCAAAGCGAGCAATGGCAACACTGTACGAAAAAAAAAAGCATTTATATCTCCAGCGCGCGAGACTTTGTACTGAAAATTCTAAGGATACGCTCATTTTAAAATTATTTCGTGATATTGCTGTTGAACTAAGTTCTTTGGCTTGAGTACGTAAAACACGATATTAAATAGATAAAAGGTAACACACTAAATGAAAAAAAAAAAAAAACTTGGAGACACAATTTAAAATCTGAAACATTTCAGATTTCTCTTCCTTTTTATTTCATATTTTGTAAAACTTGAATTTTTGATCAACAAACTCGACGATTTGAAAGCGAGTAGCCGCGATATTACTTTTCGACAATTTTCGGGGAAAAAAAAAAACAGATTTTAATCTCCAGCGTGCGAGACTGTTGCTAATAGGAAAAATGAGCGCGAAAATTAGCATTTTCGGAGTTTTTAATTAATATCTGATTTTAATTAATTGAAGTCTCACGAAGATATAAGATTGGTCGAAATGGCTTCTGACGAATTTTTGGAATCCGAGAGTACCTCTTTCGAATCTCAACGTCTGGCTGTTCCGGAGGAGATGATGGCAGAAATAAACAGACAGACACACGAGCACAGATTTTTAATAGTATAGATTCCTGTACACATAGACTTCAAAAGTAAAATCACGGGGAAATTAGCAGCTGGGATTAATAAACGCAAAAATGAAAGCGTTTCGATGCATTTTCGGTCTTTCTCCACCTCAATACAGTAAATGCTTGGATTCACTGCTACAGCCCAGAATTTTCAAAATTTGATCTTTTATGGTGAAAAGTATGAAAAGGTCATATATTACGAGTATGCAAATGTTTTCCTTAAAGTGCCTTAACCCAAAGCAAAATGAAAAATATATATCTGTTATTTAGTCATTAATGTATTAGTACCAAACATTAAATTTTAGGAGGTCTCTTAGAAAAAAAAAATAACTGAAAGTATTAATTTTCATCAGTTTCCTGAAGCTTTTGCTGGATAATCAGAAATCTTTTAAACTGCAGTGACAGTTTCTTCAGAGATATTATTCCAAGTAACGAATCTTACGTGGATGATTCTATTTTTCAAGTATCGAAGAAATAAAAGATGCTTTCTAGCTTTAGTTTGTGAAACAGTGGTACCTGGTAAACCCCCTTCGTATTCCTTTTACTAGCATCTTCAGTGTGATGTCTTAATATTTTAAAATTAGAAATTTTCGGTAGTTGACGCGAATTTCTCAAACGCTTTAGAATTTCTTCTGGTAATTTTACACTGCATGGTTATTTTGTGTCCTAATTTTGTGCAATCTCAATTGATCCCAGAAACATCTTGTAAAACTGGCCTATTGTAAAACTGGCCTATTTCTCATGCACCTTTAAAGGCCCGTTCCCACTGGGGTTCATCTGAGCTGACGGAGTCAGTTCCATGTGTCGACTTAGCTCCGCTGTGTCGTTCAGTTCAGATTTTTCAACTTGCTGCCCTATTGGAAAAAACTGGTTTCGGAGCTGGGTCGGGTACGTCAATTGCTGTTAGCTCAGATACGTGCTCATACGTTAGCTCAGATAAATCCCAGTGGGAACGGCCCTTTATGAGTTCATGAGGACGTACATTCCTTTGCTTTAAACTAAATCATTTACCGAAATAATATTACGTACACTGCGAAAAAAAATGATATATGGGACAGTTCTATATCTCTCGTTCTAGTGGGCCGATAGTCGAAATTCAAATTGCGTTTTTCATGTCTCGAAATCGCGAATTAAGATATATATTAGATTTATATGTAGCATTAACCTAGCTATATATATATATAGCATTAACATAGGTATTTTGATACAAAATCGGACTTTTTCTGAAATAATATAGCCA